AAAAGAAAAGAAAAGAAAAGAAAGCCTCTGCTAGTGCCAGCAGGGGGCAGTGTTTAATTACCAATTGTCAAGACTTAGCGGGAAGGAATACAGATCAGAGAAATGTCCTTAGATCAACACATCTCTTTGACCCTCCGGGACCAAATCTTGCTTTTGTTCTATTCTTAAACCCCTCTCTTTTCTGAGCTGCAGTTTCTCCATCCTCAGTTTAGATTTTCTAGCTTACCCATTCCCAATTTTCCAAAGACTGAACACCGGGGTCTCCCTCTCAGATGACCCCATATCCTCTTGTGCCTTCTCATTCTACCTTGGTTCCTAAGGTGGTCAGGGCTCCTGCCTTACGTTTGATCTGGTGGAAGGGGCATTGGATGTCAGGCCCTTTCACTGCCCTGGACTGGTGTCTTGTACGGTGCACAAACTGTATAACAGTACATGTTGACCCTGCTACTAACTACCCTTGATGGATCATTTTAATGAGCAACTTATTGAGCACCTTCATGATGATCTCATTTAATTCTTATAACACGGCAGATCTTATTATTGTCCCATTTTGCACATGAGGAAATTGACACACAGAAAGGGCATGTAGTTTGTTCATAGTGGCACAAAGATAAAGATGAATATGGAGCTGGGATGCAGATTTGGAGCTAGCCAGGTATGAACTTTCTCTCCCTCGGCCACAGTCTTACTGCAGTGCCTCTGCCTCTTTCTGCCCGACTCCCTCTCAGCCTTGCAGACAGATGGTTGTGATCCTGCTGAAGTAGGAGGATTGCAAATTAGAGGCAAACCTGGGCAACTGTGTGAGACTTTGTCTCAAAATTTAAAAATCAAAAAAAAAAAATGGGTAGGGTGTAGCTCAGTGGCAGAGCACCCCTGGATTCAACCCCCAGTACCTCAAAACAAAAGAAAACAAGACAGATGGCATCTCGGCTGGCCTTCTCCCTGTTTCCCTGCACTCACACCCTGGACTGTGACCCTCCTGTGAGTTCCTTTCTTCTGTCCACGGTCCTTACTGGGTCAGATTCAAGAGCATAGGAAAGGATAGGAGAAAGAGGAGGAAAGATCAAGGACAGGGTGGTATGAGGGGCCCCGGGGGATAAAAGGAGAAGAGAAGGTGAATTAGGCAGACACTGCATTGGGGACGGAGGAGGAAGGGGGTGGGTGAAGGGAGACAGCAGCCCAGCCTGCACCATGCCCACACTGGGAAGGGGGCACAGACAGGGCCTTCATTGTGTGGGCACAAAGGGGCCATATGCCTGGCAGCCTACACAGTGTGTGTGTGTGTGTGTGTGCGCGCGCGCGCGCGCGCGCGTGTGTGTGTGTGTGTGTGTGTGTGTGTGTGTGTGTGTGTAGGAAGGAAGGAGTGGCTTAGAGGCCCCCCACTCTCAAACCCCTGGGGCCTGGCCTTCTGCTCTGTCCCCCGGAATGAGGGTTGCCTAGATGGAAGGCAGAGGGGAGCCATTATGACAGGCAGGATTGGAAGGTCAGGGGCCTGTGGGTAACTGGGGCTGGGAGAGAGCCCGGACAGCTGGAAGGGGCCCTGGCTGCAGATGGGATCCTTGGGAAGAAGACAAAGGAGGAAGGAAGGGGTGAGAGGTGCCAGAGTCTTGATCACCTGGGCCCCCACACTGCCCCCTCCACCCCCCTGGCCCACCACCTGGGTTTTGGAGGGAAGTGAAAGCAGGCCACAGAACTCTCTTCTTCTAGCAATCTCTTTCCTCCCTCCCCCTTGTCTATTAGTCCAGAAGCTCTCACTCTCCCTTCAGCCCAGGGACTCCCGTCTCCCTGACCACCCTCGTCTACCACCCATTCCCTGTTCCCTCCTCCTCCTCCTCCTCCTTCCCCCATCCTTCGGAGTGGAGCGGCAGCCGAGGCCAATTGATTATCTGAAGAAATTCGGAGCTAGCAGTAGAACAGCTGCAGCTGCCCCCTCCTACCACCCCCAGGCCCTGAGGGACCCCTGAGGGGAGGGGCCCTTAACCCCTCTGCTCTCCAGCCTGGGAGGGAGGCAGGGAGCTCAGAGCACCGTGAGTGGCTGCTGAGCAAGGAGAGACACAGAGCACTGGCGGGTGCCAGGAGCAGAGGAATGGGGTTATAATCCCAGTCCATCATCATGGATGAGTCACATCACCTTTCTGGACAGGATTTATCTACCTTTAAAGCAAAGGTGTTGGACTGGACATGGTCCTGCCTGCTCATGGTCCCAGCTTCTCTGGAGGTTGAAGCAGGAGGATTGCAAGTTCAAGGCCAGCCTCAGCAACTTTGTGAGAACCTGTCCCAAACGAAAAAATAAAAGGGCTGGGGGCATAGCTCAGTGGTAAAGTGCCCCTGGATTCTTTAATCCCTAGTACCACAAGCAAAAAAAAAAAAAAACAAAGGTGTTGGATTCAATGATTTCTATACTCCCTTCTAACTCTCGTCCTTTGCTGCCCTGATCTCAGTCCAGCCCCCCCTCTTGCCAGTCTTTGGGGTTAGCATCTCCCTCCCACTGTTTGCCTACAGCATTCTCATATGACCTCTGATTTGGAAAGATCTTCAAATGGACCTAGCCAGGATTCCATCTGAGGGATGGAACGACAGTATCTCTGCATGTGATTGATTCTTCAGCCCCACCACTTGGATTCCTCTTCCTTGAGGCAAGTGCTTTCATTTCTGGAGGGCTCCAGGTTTTGCAAATCTTTTCTTGGAATTAAAATCTGCCCTCCTATAGTCTCTACTCACTAATCACTAATCTGGGTTCTGCCTCCTGGGGCCACCAGAATGTGGTTTTGCAGTAGTGGAAATAAAACCCAAGGGCACTCTACCACTCAGCTACATCCCCAGACCTTTTTAATTTTTATTTTGAGACACAGTCTTGAGCTAGTTTGCCCAGGATGGCCTCAAACTTTCCATCCTCCTGACTCAGCCTCCTGAGTCACTGGAATTTGGGGGGTACCACCTCTGTACCCAATTTAGATCTACTCTTATCAAGACACATAGCCTCCATCTTCTACCATCTCTTCCATGAAATATCTCTAGACCTTTTGCTTTCTTGACCACGCAACTCTGAATCTTCTCTAGTTTATCAATTTGGTGAAAATGTGGAGTTCAAAAGAGCACCACCCATCTGTATGGATCATTTCAAGGAGGCAGAGGAGGGTTGACAGCAGAGGGCATCAAGAACATGGCTTTAGGGGCTGGAGGTGTGGCTCTGTGGTAAAGCACTTATTTCACATGCTTGAGGCTCAGGGTTCAAAACCTAGCACTGAAGAAAAAAAAAATGTCAGTCTAGTCCTAGTTGTGTGACCTTGGGAAAGTCCTGTACCCTCTGAGGACTTTAGTTTTTTTTAAATTTTTTAGTTGTAGTTGGACACAATACCTTTATTTGTTTGTATGTGGTGCTGAGGATCAAATCCAGGGCCTCGCACCTGCTAGGCAAGCACGCTACCACTGAGCCACAACTCCAGCCCAGGACTTTAGTTTTTTTTATTTTTATTTTTGGATCACATCCAGGATGACTTTGATGTCTGCTCACCACTCTTTTTTATCCCTTTCGTAATTCTTTGCTCAGTCCCAGGTCCTGCATCGTGTTCTCCCCAGTATCCTAAAGCTGAGGAACACAGCTGGGCTGTGGTGCACACCTGTAATCCCAGGATTGAGGAGGCTAAGGCAGGAGGATCACAAGTCTGAAGCTGGCCTCAGCAACTCAGCAAGGCCCTAAGCAACTTAGTGAGACCCTGGCTCAAAATTTTAAAAATTAAAAAAGGGGGCTGTTGGGCTGGGGATGTGGCTCAAGCGGTAGCGGGCTCACCTGGCGTGTGTGCGGCCCGGGTTCGATCCTAAGCACCACATACAAACAAAGATGTTGTGTCCGCTGAAAACTGAAAAATAAATATTAAAATTCTCTCTCTCTCTCTCTCTCTCTCTCTCTCTCCCCTAAAAAAAGGGGGGGGGGCTGTAGGGGCTGGGGTTGTAGCTCATTAGTAGAGTGTTTGCCTAGCATGCATGAGGCACTGGGTTGGTTCCTCAGCACCACATACATGTAAATTATATTGTGTCCAAGGCTGGGGTTGTGGCTCAGTGGCAGAGTGCTCACCTAGCACGTGCAAGGCCCTGGATTCAATCCAGGAACACCACATAAAAAAATAAAATAAAGGTATTGTGTCCAACTACAACTAAAATATATATATATATATATATATATATATATATATTGTGTCCACCTAAAATTAAAAAATAAATATTTAAAAAATCCAATTGCTACTTTAGTATTTAAAAAATGGAGGGGGCTGCAGATATAGCTCAATTGGTAGAGTGCCTGCCTCAAATGAAAGGAAAAAATAATTTAAAAAGGCTGGGGGTGTAGCTCAGTGGTTAAGCACCCATGGTTTCAATACCCAGTACCAATAAATAAGTAAATAAAGCTGGGGAACACAAAATAGACCAAAAACTGAAACTTCAAGGAAGTTTGACCTAGTCTAGAGACAATAAAGGAGAAAGCAATGTCTCGATTCCATGCCAAGGGTTTCCACAGGACATATGTTTAACTTGGATTTCACTGGGACACTCAGGCCCATAGGAAGTAGGAGCTAGAGCACATCAGATATGTTAGCAAGTGTCACCTGATAAGCACCAAGATAGGGGTACATAGGGCTTAAGTGAGGAGATCTGGAAACTGTGTTAGACCCTCCCCTGACCTCTGTGCCCTGTGGCCCCTTCTTTCCATTTTCATGCACCCACCACACTGAGCTTTCATGACCGCCCACCTCCCAGAAGAACCTTCAAAGCCTAGGACCCTCAAGGAGTATTCATAGTTATTATTCATAACCCATGGGCCAATTTCCCAGCCCAATTGAATAAACCATAGCCATATATGGCGCTAGAACGAGGTCACTTTAATTTTTTTTTTTTTTTCTGTATGAAACTGGAAATGCAACAGGGAGGAATCGGACACAGGACACAGGACACAGACCCTGGGGGCCTGCTCTTGGTGGTATTAAGAAGAAGAGCGGGTCATGGGGAAGGCTGGAGAGAGGAAGGACGTGGCTGGGACTGGGTGGGATCGTCAGGGGATAGAGGGTGTTGACAAAGGACATCCAGGAGCCCAGCAGTTGGGGAGGGGCACTGCCCCAGAGGACCAGGAGTTCAAGACAGGTGATCTGAGGAAGGGATATGGGTGTGGTGAGCAAGGGGGCAGGGTTCCCACACACACCTGGAGTTGGAGAAGGGGCAAGAAAAGGAGAGGAGTGACCAGGAAGGGAGCCAGAGAGACCCAGCTATTACAGCCGGGAGCCCCCCTCCATCTACCCCAAAGTGCACAACTCGGCAATAAATAGTAATATTTATAAATAAATAAATAAATAGATAAATAAATAAATACATAAATAAATATCCTTGTAGAGCTAGGAGTTTGGTATGAGGGTGGAGAGGTCATAGAAATGCAGTAAGTTCATTTCTTCTAGACAGGTTCTAAGGTCCTTCATTCTGCTGGCCCAGGGCTATGATGAGTGAGTGGGGCTCAGCACCATGGGGTGGGGGAGCCATGAGGTGGGGTGGGGGTGTCTCTTCTTTTGCAATGGCAGCTTAAAGAAAAAGGGGAAAAATGTAATAAATAGGCCCTAAGACCAGGAGCAGCCCTGGAGGGCAATAATAGGGCATCCCCTTGCATCTAAATGAGGAGACAGCATGGGTTCTGTCCATCCTCCGGGTGGGCTGGGATGGAGGAGAAAGTGGCTGTCAGGGCTGCCCCACCCACCCATGGCCTGGGCCTTCTACAGGTACCACATGCTATTTGGAGATGTCACCCCCATCCCAGGATTGAGGGATTGAGGTTTTTCCTTTTTTTTTTTTTTCCCTTCAGTGGCACACAGGGAGGGAGAAAATTGGAATGGTAAGGGGCAGGGAAACAGCCAAATAACTCAGCAAAGGCAAGGCACTCACTACTGAGTAAGAGCTGAGGTCTGTATGTGCTGAGCCTCAGGAATAAGATGGACAAAAGAAAAGCAAAAAAGTTTTCTATTATTCCTGGCTACTGAGATTTCCCCTTTCATGTGTTATTTCACTCACCTCCTATCTCCCAAGAGCCCTCCTCTCCCCCAAGCATACTGAAGAAGCCCATTCCTGACTCCAACCCCAGCCTTACACCCTTCCAGGTCTGATGCGCCATCCGCACCACGGGCTAGAACAGATGGAAGAGAGTCCGGGTCTGGAGTCTGAAAATCTGGACATAGGGGTAGAAAAAGCAGCAGCCCAGAGACAGCTGGGTTTAGGAAATCCACCAGGGCCCTGTTCTGATCACTCTAGCGAATGATTCTGACCAGATTCTGACCCTAACAGCAACAGCAACCCCCTGAAGGGACCCATGAGAACAGCCATCAGGGGTGCCTAGGTCAGTAAAAGAAAGTGGCCTTCAGGACCAGCGGTGGGCACTGTCTGGGCCTGATGCCTTTGGGATGGGGAGGAGAAGGCCACTCTAAGCAATGAGCAGTAGAAGGGACTCTAGAGAGGCCCCAGAAGGAGGGGAGAGTCCGGGGCTGGAGGCCGGCTGAGTTCAGACGTCCAGCACGTGGTTCAGGTAGGAGATGTAGCAGATGGCGAGGCGCAGGATCTCAATCTTGGAGAGCTTCTTGTCCGGAGGCAGCGTGGGCAGCAGCTTCCGCAGCTCAGCGAAGGCCAAGTTGAAGGCCTCCACGCGGATGCGCTCCCGCGTGGCATGCGCCGTGCGGTACTTGGCAGTGGCCCTGCGCCGACGCCTGCGCTCTTCCCGGCTGAGGTGCTGCAGGTCTTTCCGGCCAGGCTCTCCGGGCTCTGACCCCCGGGCCTGGCCCCCGCCCGGACACCCCGGCCCAGCACTCTCGGGGCCTGCCCCACCCCCACAGTCGCTGAAGCCGGACTCGGCCTCCGAGTGAGTGGGAGGCAGGTCCAACTCCATGGTGTCTGAGTTGAGCATCATGATGGTAGCCCCCGGTCCAGTGAGATCGTGATCCCCTCCCCACCCCTCCCTCTTGGAGCTTGAAAGCTGGCGGTGGGAGGGGCAGGAAGGGCCTGGGGTGTTGGGGTCTGCCACTGAGCTCTGGAAATCAGAGCCACTTCAGGGTTCCATGGTCAGGGTTCCAGAACGGAGCCTGAAACAGAAAGGTCAGAGTCAGGGAAGTGGGGGTGGAGATGGCCGAGGGGCAAGAAGGAACTGTGCCTGTGAGGGAAGAACAGCAGACCCGGGCAGGGCCAGAGAGAGACAGACAAGTGGACATGGTGGAAAGCAGCAGGAGGAAAATAGGAAGAAGGAAAGAGGATCCCATATGGAACTGGAAGAGAAAAGTCAAAATGACGGAAAGCAAACCGAAGGAGGGCTAAAAGTGAGCAAGAAGATTTAAGACCTAAAATTATAGAACTGCTAGACGAAAAATAAGGGGAAAGTTTCATGACATTGGACTTGACAATGATTTCTCGGATAGGATACCAAAAGCCTAGACAATCAGAGCACAAAAAGATAAATGGGATTACATCAAACTTAACCTGGTACATTAAAGTACACAGTCAACAGAGTGTAATCTGTAGAATGAGAGAAAATATTAGCACATCATATGTGTGACCAAGGGTTGATTAAATCCAGAACATATGTCCTGCATCTCAACAACAAAACTATCAAGTAACCTCATTAAAAAATGGGCAAAAGGGGCTGGGGATGTGGCTCAAGTGGTAGCGTGCTCGCCTGGCATGCGTGCGGCCCGGGTTCGATTCTCAGCACCACATAAAAATAAAATAAAGATGTTGTGTCCACCTAAAACTAAAAAATAAACATTTAAAAAAAAAATGGGCAAAGAGGGCTGGGACTGTAGCTCAGTGGTAGAGCGCTTGCCTTGCCTGTGTGAGGCACCAGGTTCAATCCTCAGCACCACATAAAAATAAATAAATAAAATACAGATATTGGGTCCATCTACAATTAAAAAAGATTTTTTACAAAAAAAATAGGCAAAAAAAATAACTAGACAATTTCTCCAAAGATGATATATAAATAACCATGCATGTGAAAAGATACCGAACATCTTTAGAAATGCAAATCAAAACCACAATGAGACATCAACTCACACCCACTAGGGATGGCTACTATATAAATAGAATAAAAAGGACTGGGGATGTGGCTCAGCCACAGTGCACTTGCCTAATATGCAGGAGGCCCTGCAAAAAAAGAAAAAGAAAAAAAGAAAAGAAACCCAGGAAACAACTCTAAAACAAAATTGGTCTTGCAAGAATGGGAAAAATGGGAAGCTTCATGCCCTGTTGGGGAGACTGTAAAATGGCACAACTGCTATGGCAAACAGAATGAATGTTCCTCAAAAAATGAAAAATGAAACCACCGTATAATTCATCACTTCCATTTCTGGGGATATATATATATATATATATATATATATATATATATATATATTATTCTTAGAAAGGAAGGAATTCCTGTCACATGCTATAACAGATGAACCTTGAAGACCCATTAAGTCAGTCAGTTGAAAATGGACAAATTACTGTAAGTCCACTTACATAAAGTTATCTAAAGTGGTCTAATTCATAAAAACAGAAAGTAGAGTGGCGGCTGGCGTGTGGAGGAAGGAGTGGCTTAGTGAGTCCAGAGCTTCGCATTTGCAAGATGAAAAAGTTCTGGAGATTATTTCACTATGCGTTGAATATACTTAACACTACTGAGCTGAATACTTTTCTTTCATTCAGTATTGGGATCTGAACCCACTGCTACTAAGCAACACCCCTATCTCTTTTTATTTTTTTAATTTTATTTAGGGTCTCACTAAGTTGCGGAGGCTGGCCTTGAACTTTCTGGCCTCCTGCCTCACTATCCTGAGTAGCTATGATTACAGGCATGCGCCACCATGCCCAAATTAACTGTACACTTAAAAATGGTTTAGATGGCAATTTTTGTTACTTTTTTACCATAATAATAAATAAAAGGTAAAAACTGAGCAAGACTGGCGCTATAGCTCCAAGAGAGGTTGGCTATGTCTCTAGACCTTTCCCAATTGTGGCAGGGGAGGGGGTGTGATTGAAAATCTTGGCCTTGTAATCTTTTTCCTCCCACCCCTTGCTTCTTGGGGTGGGGGTTAAAACACACAGATTGTCCATTGTATGGTAGGCTGGGACATATGGAGCTTAGCACAGCTGCCCTAGCTTAGTCCCTCCAGTCCCCAAAACCTCCTTGACATGACCACTGTGGACATTGGATCCGGCCACCATTCGAACCAGGGGAAGATATCTCTTCTCATGACGATCCCCCTGCCCAGGACCACCTTTCTTCCATCTCTGTTCTCAGCACATTCAGCCCTTGCCATTCCCTGGCCCTTTTGGAGACTCCGCAAGGAAGTTTGGGGAAAGGGAACATAATCACTCTCCCATATTCCAAGGTAGTTCAGGCATGGCCTGAAGAGGAAGGCGAAGACATTTTCTTGGGGCTACCCTTGTGAGGCTTGGCTGAGGTTTGCTTGTCTCAGGTCCAGAGGAGATCAGTGGAAGACAGCAGGAACGTGGCAGGGGAAAGGGCTTTGGTTGGGAGGAGTGTTCGTAGAAACAGTGAGCTCAGCCTTACTTAAGTAAGAAACAAGCACTGAGGCTCCTTTACAGTCACCATCTCCCCTTCTTCTCAACCCTGGCTTTCTTGCCTGACAGACACTCTCCCAGGGGCCAGTACGCCCCACACCACAGAAGACGGGCTCAAGTCAAGGAGACAGTTAATAAGCTCCAGGGGATGCAAGGTCGTCCACATCTGATTGTGGGGAAGACAAGCACACACACAACCAAGACACAAAACAGAAGAAGGTTCATTCTGAAAGTAAGAGCATACTCCATATTCCGGGATCCAAAGGAAGGAGAGAGATGGCACTCGTGGAGGATAGTGAAGGAGAATCACGGAGTGCATGATGAGTGCCCCAGCTCCTCACTCCCATACTTGGGTTGGAACTAGAAGATTGTTTGTAGCATTCCCAGTACATCTATCATAACCAGATTCTGCCTTTGCTGGTCCCCTTGTCCCTTCCATCCTGATCACTATCACATGCCCTCTCTGTGCTCCTCATTTGGCCTCGGCCTGTCTCCATCTGTCCCCACTGTCCTCAGCTCCAGTCTGGGCAGCAGCTTCTATTTCCCTATTAAGTTCTCACCCCAAAATCCACATCTGGTCTCAAAGTTCCAGGATCCAAGGATCAGAGATGCTGCAATCCCAGACATCCAGGATAGGACTTCCCACCGTACTTCTGTCAACCGCAATTCAATTGAGGATAGACAGGCACAAAGAGTCAAAAAGAAGTGGGGAAGAGGCAGAGATGGAGAGACACAGCACACGAGAGAGAACCAGAAGGAGGCTCTGGGAAGGGGCTTAAGCCAGAGAATTGGAAAAACACACCCACCCCTTCCCAGCATCCTGTTTCCCCTTTTACCTAGGAGGACCCAAGGGATCCAAGCCGGCAGGACAGAGGGGCAGCGTTGAAAGCCCCAGTCTCCTCTGGCTGCTCGGGGTTCATCCGTCTGCAAAGTTAGTGACCGGCTTTCTAGAGCTCTCGGAGGGAGCTTGGCGTGGCTGTACAGGCTCCACAACAGATGAAAGGGGCACACATGGTGAAGATACAGGGCTCAGGTGGAGGGAGTGGGCTTGGGCAGGTTCTGGGTCCACCCACACTCACAGACACAGACACATACACACCTGAGGTGGCCCAGCCCTATGTATATATATATGGAGATACACATACACACCCCCAGCTCTCCATTGGCTTATCCATGCCCCCCTCATCAATATTAAATAGCCAGGCCAGGCAGCCATTGGCAGAGGGATCTGGGAACCCCCCGGGAGCTGGGGGCGGAGGCTGGCCCTGGGGGGGGGCGGGGAGTGGGGGAGCAGGGACATCTGTTCTCCATGCATATTTCATAAGCAAGAAATGGAGAGCTGGGGAAGGGGTGGGGCTGGGGCCAGAGCCAGGGCAGGACCACAGATGAACCCCCTCAGCCTCCCATGCCAGAGGCAGTGGGGCAGAGGGCCCTAGCAAGCTAGATTTAAGTGCTATAGTCCCATTCGGAGTCCCAGCATGACTTTGAGCGCCCCTTCCCCATATCTCTTTTTTCCTAAGAAAAAGGATCTCCAAGGTACTAACAGGAAACTGAAAAGAGAGCAAGTGGACATCACTAAAACAGGACAAAAGGACCCGGGAGTCCTCGCTCTAACTATGTGCTCATTTTCATAAAGTTGGTATCACCTCTCGCCAGACTGCTTCTGGCTACTGTGCAGGCCCTCACCCTTATCACCCTGAGAATTACTCACCCTGTCCCCTCTTATCCAGCCCCCATCTTCCTACCTACTCCATCACTGGGCCATGAGTGGGGTCAGAGTCTGGACACAGACCCCATAAGTAATTATTTGAGGCTGGTCAGCCCAACTGCATTCACTGGAAATTAGGGACTCTTAGGAGGAGAGAGGTAGGGGATAAAGGTGAGGAGGGGGGAATGCCAAAAGAGGAAGAGCCAGGATTGGAGAGGATGCTGGGAGAGGAGGGCAGAGTTTGGAGTGTATGAGGCACGAAATCAGCAACAAGAAAAGTGATACAAAACTATGTGCAAATGATGAGCACTGATTAAATTCACATGAATAGCTCAGTAGCCTCCATCGTGTGTGTGAGTGTGTGTGTGTGTGTGTGTGTGTGTGTATTGCAAGGTGACAGGAGTGGAGAGGAGGCACCCAGTGAAGGGAAGCACTGAGACAGGGGACTGGGTTTCAGTATCCGAGTTCTCTTTCCCTACTCAGCTGTTGAAAGTCTTCATTGAACCTTTGTGACTAGAAACCATGGATGGAGAGGACTCCAGAGACAGCTGTGTGACCTTGGACAAGTAACAACCTCTTGAACTTCAATGGCTTTTTTCTGCTTCTTGGGTCTCCATGGAGATTAAGGCTGACAGTGTTTGCTG